GGAGCCTATCCTGGAACTAGCTCTTGTAGACCAGGCTGGTCTCGAATTCACAGGGATCTTCCTGCCTCTGCCTTCCGGGTGCTAGGATTAAAGGCATGTGCTACCACCACCTGGCTTCCTTTTTTAAAATTTATTTATATATTTCATGTATATGGATGCTTTGTCTGTATGTACATCTGCACACCAGAAGAGGGTACCAGACAGTTGTGAGCCGCCATGTGGGTTCTGGGAATTGAACTCAGGACCTTTGGAAGAGCAGTGAGTGCTCTTAACCACCAAACCATCTCTCCAGCCCCACAGATGTGTCTTTTTCATGTTCTGGAAAACTGGCTTATACATTAAAATATGAACTATAATTCACATCTAACATGATGCACCCCCCATATACATACTTATCTAGCAAATTGGGCTTCTACGCTCCCTGCTGCTGAATAAACACTCCTAGGTCTTGACCACTTTACCAGCATCTCCCCTTCCTTAATGAATTGCTTCTGGGTCTCTCCTTCCCCAGGCCAATCTTTCCGAATATCTTTGGGAGGCTTACTTAGTGACATTCCAACTTGTCTCTCTTCCTAAGAGATAGTTCAGAGTCCAGACAGTGCTCCAAAATGCTGGGAAAAGAGAGTGTTCCACGCCACCTGCTCACCACCTTCCCCCTAGACATTTTCTCCCTGATACTTTCCTTTTGATTTCTTAGTTGAAATCACACACATGTCAAATGTCGCTATGCTAATCACTATCAACAACCCAGGGGCTCACAGCCCGCAGCAGCCAGATAGGACAGCTTTGCCCTCCCGAAGCCTGGATTCCTCAGCACACAGGCGGCCGCTGGCAGGGGAGCAGTGCAGGCGTTTGCCGGAGTCAATTTCAGCTCCTCCTGGATGTTGCGTCAGAACGTCACTTTGCATTAGACTCAGAGGTCAGCAGTGCTTGTTTGCTGGGGGAAGGCGAAGGATCAAGAAAATACTCTTGGACAAGAATGGCCATGCTCCATTTTTATTCATGATTTTGGTAGAAAAAGGAAGTTTCAGAACCGAGCTTGGGCAGGTTGGCATGCAGGGTCTGTGGAGAGTGCTGTAGGTTTGGGCATCTAAGACTAGATGTTACCATGTAATGACATGAAAGTTGCTTTCTGTCTTCCTTTATCCCTAAATTCACCCACTCACCGTTCGTTCGTTCGTTCATTCATTCATTCTCAAGAATCTGCAGCATGCCAGGTAGTGGAGTGCACCTACCACTACCGGTGAGAGGTGCAACTCTTCTTCTGTGTACTGTGGGGTAAGGGAAGCTGGGCCTCTACCCTCAGTTCCACAGGAGAGGAACGAATGCCCAGTGAACCTGCACAGAGCCTGCCCTAGCCCACATCATTTAGAGGTCATGTTTGGGGATGCAGAGGTTTCCCGGTGCCAACGGGCAGCACAGAGGAACCATCTTTGTCCTCACAGAAACCTGTAATGGAGGGACTGTCATCAGTTCCAGCTGGAAGGCGAAGAAACCGAGACCCCAGAGCTCAGAGGGCTGCATGTGTCTGCTCTGTGCGGTCATACCTCCTCTTGCGCGGGTCACAGAGGACTTTGTTTGTTGTCGGAAGAGAAGCTCTCTGTGTTCACCGCCACACACGGACAGACCCACATGCCTTTGCGCTCATGAAGCCTGTTCCTCTCTTACATTGGACCCAGTCACCTCTGCTCCTTCCTACACCAGCTCCTCCACTCAGGCTAGATAACTGCTCAAGGACATTCCCGGCAGTCTTCCTTCCTCCCTGTGCTGCCAGCTTTCCCGCCTCCCCCTGGCTCAGCATACACACACGCCGTTATTTCTTTGTCTTAAAAATAAATCTCTCCTGACTCCCCTTACTGCTCCAATTTCCTGCATTTTGACAGCAAAACTCTGAGCAGAGTTGTCTAAGCCACGGTCTCTAGTTGTCCTCTGGTACGTCTTATTGTCCCAGTGAATGATGATTTCACAGCCTGAGCTCCACCGGGACTGTTCTGGTCAGTAGCTAGCTCCCAGTCTTCCCCTCTCTGACCTGGTGACAGCTTTGACACAGTGGCTGCCCCCACCTCCTCCACGCATGTATGTACCTGGTTTCTAGCCCGCTTTACCACCCTGTGTTGTTTATTCCCCATATAACTTTTATTTTTGCATTCGGTGTTGGTTTATTTTCATTCTATCTTATTTTAGAATGTCCCAAAGAAGTGTGTGGCTCTCAGTGCTCTGACCTCTCCACCGTGACGGCCTGCGAGCCCTAACAAACTAGTTCTCTAGTCTCCTTTGTTGTATGTTATCACTGCAATAGTTAAGAAGGGAAGACAGTGCTCCTTGGTGCCTTGTGGAAGATGAAGTTCTTTTCAGCTTGTCAAAGCCTCTGGGCTTCCATAAAACCAGAAGGTGGGATGTCCAAATGTGGACCTTGCCATACTTTTTGTGAGCTGCTGTGTAGGCCTAGGCCTGTTTTGCTTGATCTCCTGTTAGGGAATGCTCGAGTCTGCTCTTTAGAATGGTGATGGGGAAGGTGTTTGTACCACAAGGAGGTCGGTGAGCTGCCTCACTGCGGAGGCCCCGCAGGCGAAGTCCCCACTGGCAGAGGCCAGCGAGCTTCCCCATCACTCACGCTTTGGACCGCTGCGCACAGCTGTGCTTCTTTGGGCCATGAGCTGTGTCTGTGCCAGAGAAGGAGGCCCTAGCGTTTTGCCTTTTGTAGAACGGCAGATACATGGGAACTGTATAGTGCGTGTAACCCTTCGAGATCAGAGCCTTTCCCTCCGCACCATCTCTCTTCAGTTCATCCGTGTAGTCATGTGCATGAAAAGCTCGTTTCTTTCTGTTTTGAATCCTCTGTGTGGTGGGGCCATGCTTTGTCTACCCACTCCCTTACTGAAGTCATTGGTTGTTTCTAGCCTTTGGCAAAGAAGAACAGAGCTGCTATAAATGTCAGTGTACGTTTCTGTATGAGCTCAAGTTTTTACTTGCTAGTGTAAATACTAAGGACTGGGTGGCTGAGCATATGGTAAATGCATGTTGGATTTAGTAATTTACTTCTGGAATAAGCATACTACTTTATATGGCCTGTCCTTTCCTGGATCCTCTGGCTTTATTTTTGTAGCTTTACATTAAAGCCAAGGCTCGGCACTCGGAATCCCTCAGCTTTGTCACACATTTAAATATTGTTTTGGCTTTTAAAAAATTCTTTCCTCTTACATAAACTTAATAGAAAACTTATTCATATATTTAGGGAAACTGTGCTGGGATTTTGTCGTGATGTTGGGTTAAATCTGTAGATGAATTTCTGATCCCAACACGGATAGCAAATGGAAACCGCTAAGAACACGATTGATATGGTAAACTTTTGGTGCTGAGATGGCTGCTTTAGCAGCATCAGTTTTAACAAGTTATTCGTTTTCTTGATTTTGTTGAAGATCTCCAACTTGTCAGTTTTGTCAAAGTGATTGACAGATAAAAATCAGGAGGGAGAGCAAGAGAGGCTCATTACCAGATGGGGCAGAGTGAAGCGACTTTCTCAGGTTGATGCTGTGGAGACACCCACACATTTCAGGATAATTAACACTCAGTCCTCAATGGAAATCTGAGAAATCAATTTTCAAAAGACCGTGGACTTCAAATCGACTCCCGCATTCTTCCCTTCGGGGACCTAGTTACGGGGAGGGAATATTTACAGAAAGCCTCTACTGGGTCAGAAAAGGGGGGATGTTAGCGGAGATGTGTGTGCTGTGTGCCTGGAAGGAGCTTTGGTTTCTGACATGCAGCTGGGTCCAGAGATGGCCGCAGCAGCGGTTACAACAGAGGAGCTCTAAGCACGGTCGTCTGCCATCACTCACTCACGACTCTCCCTAAGTAAGAGGATTGGGATTTCATTACTGAAGATAGTGATTTGGGGGTCATGGGTCACCTGATGAAACGGCTCTGGGGACCTTGAAGGGTATGGGCGCAGAGCACTGAGGAGAAGGAAAGGTCTTGTAGTCAGTGGGACAGACAATGCTCTAGAGTTGTGTTGTGCAGCAGACAAGAAAAACGGCTAAATAGTTACTGGGAGAAGCAGGCTCAAGAGTCTTTTCTTTTTCCTTGCTTTCTCCATCTCTGCCTTCATCCCTCTGGTTGTGGTTTGATGTGAAGTGTCCCCCACAGGCTTGTTTATTTGAACACTTTGTCTACAACTGGTGTGTGTGTGTGTGGCACCTTAGGAGGCAGAGCTCACTGGAGGCCTGGGTCAGTAGGATTGGGGCCTTGAGGCACTGCAGCCCAGGTCCTGTTCATAGTTCTCTTCCTGAATATGAACTCAATATGTACAACAGACTCCTGCTAATGCCAGCGTATCTTTCCTGCCCACTGCTGTGTCCTCCCAGCCACCACTTAGGCTTTTCCCTCTGGAACTATGCCAGAGGGAAACCCTTTCCCTTAAGGGGTTTTGTCAGGGCATCAGCAAAGTACCTTCCTTTCTTCCTTCCTTCCTTCCTTCCTTCCTTCCTT